CCGCCAGGGAAAAAAGCTCTTGTGAAATGTCAATAAAAGTAATAGTACCCACGGACTTGTACTGTCTCTAAATCATTTGGATGTGTCTCTAGAGCGGCTGGCCAGCTAGGGGCGCCGGCACTGGCATTTTAGGCACCACTAGCGCCCCCCCCCACCCTTTTTTTTAAATGAGCAGAGTCTATTATTGTTACTTTTATGAGTCGAGCGTGCTCCTGGCTCCCTGAAAGCCACCCTCCCGCCTTCCCCTCCCCCTTCCCCTCATCATTCCTTTTTCTGGAAACGTGTAAGGGGAAGCTTAGGGCTCAACCTCCCCAACATTTTCTGTGTGTCGGCACTCCTGCTGCTGGCTAGCTGTCGACAGCATGGCACAAAACACGTATTCCTAGCTCCAGCAACGACTCCCAAGGACTCACAATGTACATCTGATTCCATCGAACGGGACAATAATTCCCATGTTAAATTGTTGAAAAACATTTTATTTTTGTTTAAAATTGTAATAGTTATTTTGAAAGGCGAGATACACTTGCTCTGAATAATTATAAAACAAGCAATTTTTAAATGAAATGGGGCTTGATGTTGCTGGGCTGTTATATATACGTTATCTGTAATGTAATCAAGGCAGAAGGGTTGCGATATCCATAGTACCTAGCCAAAGAGTTAACAACTCATAGTTTCTGATTATTAAAGAAAAAAGTCTGGGAGTAATAAATAATTCCTTTTAACAGAGGAAATCTCCAAGCAACGGCTGAATTCACAAGAGACAATAGAGCAGCAAATCTCTGATGCCAGTCGTTCTCAGAAAAACTCGATGGCTTCTCGAATGGTACAACACGATCAAACTGGGTGGTGACAACATTGACACCTGGCACTGGCCTCACGTGTCTGTCAGCCGTCTGGTGAGCGGGTCCGACTCGCGCCTGTCACCAACCGAACTTCACCTGGCTTGAAACCATCTGTCAATGCCGCCAGGTAGATGGACACTTGATCTGTCTACAGTTCCCAAATATCAATCTCAGACTGTCTTGGGTCTTTTATTGGTCTACATTAACATCCTTGATTAAATATATGACCGGAGGAACAGTGCGCCGACAAACATATTCAACTTGAGTCAGGTTGTGTAGATAATTCTTTGAAATTGTAATCATGATTTCCCACGCACAGGTGGTCGAGGCAGGAATGGTGCACAAGTGGACATGGACGAGGCTGGTTCCTATCTTGGGCATTCTCTCTATAGACCTTTTACACACGGGTAAGTTTGGACATAGTTTTCCAAAGGCATTTATTCAAGTCTCATAGATATGGGTAACTTTTCTTGGATGGGTAATTAGATTATCTGCTGAATGTGAACTTTTTGTTCATTGGATGTTTTAGACATTTCTCGTTCATAGTGGGGTTAGTCAACGTGTACAGAGTTAGTGAGTGTATGTAATGTGTTCAGACTTAGTGGGTGTAGGCAATGTGTTCAGACTTAGTGGGTGTAGGCAATGTGTTCAGACTTAGTGAGTGTAGGCAATGTGTTCAGACTTAGTGAGTGTAGGTAATGTGTTCAGACTTAGTGGGTGTAGGCAATGTGTTCAGACTTAGTGAGTGTAGGCAATGTGTTCAGACTTAGTAGGTGTAGGCAATGTGTCCAGACTTAGTGAGTGTAGGCAATGTGTTCAGACTTAGTGAGTGTAGTCAATGTGTTCAGACTTAGTGAGTGTAGGCAATGTGTTCAGACTTAGTGAGTGTAGGCAATGTGTTCAGACTTAGTGAGTGTAGGCAATGTGTTCAGACTTAGTAGGTGTAGGCAATGTGTCCAGACTTAGTGAGTGTAGGCAATGTGTTCAGACATAGTGAGTGTAGTCAATGTGTTCAGACTTAGTGAGTGTAGGCAATGTGTTCAGACTTAGTGAGTGTAGTCAATGTGTTCAGACTTAGTGAGTGTAGGCAATGTGTTCAGACTTAGTGGGTGTAATTAATGTGTTCAGACTTAGTGAGTGTAGGCAATGTGTTCAGACTTAGTGAGTGTAGGCAATGTGTCCAGACTTAGTAGGTGTAGGCAATGTGTTCAGACTTAGTGAGTGTAGGCAATGTGTTCAGACTTAGTGAGTGTAGGCAATGTGTTCAGACTTAGTGAGTGTAGGCAATGTGTTCAGACTTAGTAGGTGTAGGCAATGTGTTCAGACTTAGTGGGTGTAGGCAATGTGTTCAGACTTAGTGAGTGTAGGCAATGTGTTCAGACTTAGTGGGTGTAGGCAATGTGTTCAGACTTAGTGAGTGTAGGCAATGTGTTCAGACTAAGTGAGTGTAGGCAATGTGTCCAGACTTAGTGGGTGTAGGCAATGTGTTCAGACTTAGTGGGTGTAGGCAATGTGTTCAGACTTAGTGAGTGTAGGCAATGTGTTCAGACTTAGTGGGTGTAGGCAATGTGTTCAGACTTAGTGAGTGTAGGCAATGTGTTCAGACTTAGTGAGTGTAGGCAATGTGTTCAGACTTAGTGAGTGTAGGCAATGTGTTCAGACTTAGTGGGTGTAGGCAATGTGTCCAGGCTTAGTGGGTGTAGGCAATGTGTTCAGAAATTAGTGAGTGTAGGCAATGTGTTCAGACTTAGTGGGTGTAGGCAATGTGTTTAGACTTAGTGGGTGTAGGCAATGTGTTTAGACTTAGTGGGTGTAGGCAATGAGTTCAGAAATTAGTGAGTGTAGGCAATGTGTTCAGACTTAGTGGGTGTAGGCAATGTGTTCAGAAATTAGTGAGTGTAGGCAATGTGTTTAGACTTAGTGGGTGTAGGCAATGTGTTTAGACTTAGTGAGTGTAGGCAATGTGTTTAGACTTAGTGAGTGTAGGCAATGTGTTTAGACTTAGTGAGTGTAGGCAATGTGTTTAGACTTAGTGAGTGTAGGCAATGTGTTTAGACTTAGTGAGTGTAGGCAATGTGTTTAGACTTAGTGGGTGTAGGCAATGTGTTTAGACTTAGTGAGTGTAGGCAATGTGTTTAGACTTAGTGAGTGTAGGCAATGTGTTTAGACTTAGTGGGTGTAGGCAATGTGTTTAGACTTAGTGAGTGTAGGCAATGTGTTTAGACTTAGTGGGTGTAGGCAATGTGTTTAGACTTAGTGAGTGTAGGCAATGTATTTAGACTTTGTGGGTGTGGGCAATGTGTTCAGAAATTAGTGAGTGTAGGCAATGTGCTCAGACTCTGAAACAGGGGTACAGGAAGTTAGAGGGATTTAGTCTAAAAATGAAATTCAGAATTTACAACAGTTTTGGTAAACGACAACAGGAATTACACATAAACTAGAGACTTACAGATTATTATCCAAGCAGAGTAAGGGGGAAAGTGCATTCCTGGAAAAAGGAACGAATGGAAGAAAATGAAGATTGCCTGGAAATGTGTGTGGCATGCCTGGAACAGTGGGACGTGGGCGACCTAATCAAGTCATCGCCGCTCCATATTCACAGCACACGGATCACCTCAAAGTAGTTTCCGTTCCTGTGCCAACGAAAACCACACAGCATGTCCATAGCTGTGCCTTGTGAAAAGAAAATGGACACAGACTGCAGTCTCAGCAAAGCCAGTAGCATACACACGCAAAAATGCTTAAGGCAGCCGCCAGGAGGGACAAAACAAATAATCCGAAACTAGAAATGCTGTTTATCAGCGCTGAAAGGCAATACTTACAAGAAATGAATAGTGACGCCCGCAAGTTAGGCACCATTAGTTATCTGGCAACAGACTACTTGCCTTGTTCTCAATCTGCAGTTCACTACACAAGCCACGTTGGACACAGACAGTTAAAAGGCGTTCCACATAAAATCCGCAGCTCACAGTGTCGCACCATAAACTCCACTCAGTAACTGGGTGACAGAACTATATCATTTCAGTCTGTATATGGACGAAATGCAAAGGTTCATTAATGCTAAAAGCAAAAACTTGACGCGACTAAAAACAGTAAACCTGCAAATTGACCTAAGGAAACCAGGAAAAGGACAATAGAACGCGAGAACGGAAGATAAAACCGTGTAAACTGACAGATGCAGAAAAGCAGCGATAGAGTTCACTTGTCAATGTCTTGTCTGAGAACGTCGACATAAATATGATATAACTATAGCAGAGCTGTTCAACTGGTGGCCCGCGGAGGTGTAGCAAGTGGCCCCTAGGAGGTGTAGCAAGTGGCTCGTGGGATCGTTGTAGTTGTATTGTGTCAATGATCTTTCTAGGCTGGGACTTGGGCAGCCCCGTTATTTTCAAAAGTTACATTCCTAGACAGATTTAATCCTCCTGCTAGATTTGTGGCTGTAGGTAATGCGAGTTCCTGAGTAAAGTTAGTTGAAAAGCTGTGGTTACCAGAGAAACATACAATTGGTGTCAGTTTTAATCCTCGTGTTGGATTTGTGGCTGTAGCTAATGTGAGGCTCTGCGATTTATAATCAATGTGGAAGATTCTCCTTAACAACAGCTTGTCTTGCTAGTCACACTCGCCATCGCCATGGGTTGTCATTTCCAAAAGTACCTTTAGCACAGTGAAGAGCTATTGTCTGCACAGACAGAAAACTACCAACAGTCTGTCTTATACATGTCTATACATTTGTCTCCTCTAAATGTGCATCAATGATTTTCCTGTCAGGCCAAACAATTTCTTGAGGCCTCAGAGATGTCGTTTTACAGAAGAATGCTTAGAATACCCTGGACAGCCAAAAATAGCAACCAAGAGGTTTCGAAAGAGGCGGGAGCCCGATGACAACTAATCAAAGACATCAGAAGGAGACAGTCATCATTTTTCGGCCATGTTATGAGAAGAGGAAAAATAGAACATGTTGTGTTCACTGGAAAGATCTGTGGAAAGAGGGATAGAGGAAGACAACGAGAGAAGATTTTTGACAGTCTTGTTGCATGGCATGGAGGTGTGTCAGCACACGAACTGATACATGCTGCAGGAGATCGCTGATTATGGAGAGGCATGATCGCCCATGCCAGTCGGCATGGCACCTGATGATGATGATGATGATGGGTATCAATGATTGTTCTGTCGTGTGTATCAATAATTGTTCTGTCGTGTGTATCAATGATTGTCCTGTCATGTGTTTCAATGATTGTCCTGTCATGTGTTTCAATGATTGTCCAGTCGTGTGAATAGATTAATATTGCTAATCAAAAATCATCTCCATCCACACTCTAATTCTGTCCTCCGACTTTTGACCCCTGACCGCAGACGGAAAGGTGTGTGTGAAGAGGGAGGAACTGGGAAACAGGGAAGGCAACCTGTACAACTGTGACAACCCGGATCTCAATGAATGCTGTGAGAGGAATCGGACCTTTACCTGCTGCCAACCCGCCGTGGTTGCCATTTGGTAGGTGTGCTTCTTTTTCTCATGACATATAGTTGGCTATGATTTCCATTTTTAAATCTTAAACACACCAGGTTCTGCCCATCCGTGAGCTGGTGGTTATTGCGCCAACAGTCTCTCAGGCGTGAAATCTCTAGAGATGTGCAACTACTGTGTGGTTATTGTGCCAACTGTCTCCCAGGCTTGAAGTCTCTAGAGATCTGCAACTACTGTGTGGTTATTGTGCCAACTGTCTCCCAGGCTTGAAGTCTCTAGAGATCTGCAACTACTGTGTGGTGATTGCGCCAACTGTCTCACAAGTGTGAAGTCTCTAGAGATGTGCAACTACTGTGTGGTTATTGTGCCAACTGTCTCGCAGGGTTGAAGTCTCTAGAGATGTGCAACTACTGTATGGTTATTGCGTCAACAGTCTCGTAGGCGTGAAGTCTCTAGAGATGTGCAACTACTGTATGGTTATTGCGTCAACAGTCTCGTAGGCGTGAAGTCTCTAGAGATGTGCAACTACTGTATGGTTATTGCGTCAACAGTCTCGTAGGCGTGAAGTCTCTAGAGATGTGCAACCACTGTGTGGTTATTGTGCCAACTGTCTCGCAGGCTTGAAGTCTCTAGAGATGTGCAACCACTGTGTGGTTATTGTGCCAACTGTCTCGCAGGCTTGAAGTCTCTAGAGATGTGCAACTACTGTATGGTTATTGTGCCAACTGTCTCGCAGGCTTGAAGTCTCTAGAGATGTGTAACTACTGTGTGGTTATTGTGCCAAATGTCTCTCAGGCGTGAAGTCTCTAGAGATGTGCAACTGCTGTGTGGTGATTGCGCCAACAGTCTCACAGGCGTGAAGTCTCTAGAGATGTCCAACTACTGTGTGGTTATTGCGCCAACAGTCTCACAGGCGTGAAGTCTCTAGAGATGTGCAACTACTGTGTGGTTATTGTGCCAACTGTCTCGCAGGCGTGAAGTCTCTAGAGATGTGCAACTACTGTGTGATTTTCAACATCTAGAACTGGCATGGACCTCCTCTTTCTGTTTGTGTAGCTGTGTATCTGGTTAAAGGCTAGAGGATAAAGTTGAGGGGATCGACTTTACTGCACTAAGTTGTCTCACACATGGCTCAGTCTCTCTCTACAAAGCGGCTAGCCACATACTGACAGCGTCACACAAAGCACGAGCTTCATATCTCCGGCGACGATCCCATTGATCTTGGTAAAAACTGCATCTGTGAGCTAAGCGGCTCAACAAACCAGGTGGATGGAAGACATCATTAAAAATCATCGTGAAAATCGTAAAACCACCAGCCATATTATCTTCATCGTCATAATATGGTGCTATGTAGGTCCAACAGGGCTCATAGTCCAGCCCTGCACTCCATTCTATCCAATGCAATGCTTTCCCTATCATGGATGTCATCCACATCATCATCTGCTGCTTCTCTCAACAACGTTTGTCTTAGGGTTTCTTTTAAGCGTCCTCGTTTAGTTTTTTCTTCAGTTTATATGTTTTCCCTCTCAGTGCCATTTCTGGCCCTCTCCCCACCCGCAGGTCCCCTTCTCCTCATGATCGCCATCTTTTCTGTCTTTTTAATTATGATACCAACAGTTGTCCAGACATGTCTTCGCCTGTCATGATACCAGCAGTTGTGCAAACATGTCTTCGCCTGTCATGATACCAGCAGTTGTGCAAACATGTCTTCGCCTGTCATGATACCAGCAGTTGTGCAAACATGTCTTCGCCTGTCACACATTCGTCAAATGTAATGCCCATCCAGTTCCTGACATATGCCGAAAGGGAAACAAGGAACGTTTGCATCAGCCGTACGGTGCTAAAAATACTAAACTCTGTCTACAACACCCCCCACCCCCCAACTGTTTCCTTCCCACCCCCACCCATTATGCCTCCCCGAGCTTTCCAGCTGACCCGTCATCACGATTCTCTTCCAAACAGGCATGATCAACTCTGGCTTCTACTCTCCGTTGTGGTCCTGGCCGTCTTGATGTGTGTGGTGATATCTTGGTGTTACGGTCAAAGTGAATTCTTCAGGTCTCCGACCGCCAAAGACGCAGCCAAAAACTGGAAGGATAAATTCGTTAACACGTAAGTACTGCCTTGACATCAAATACCGGTGTCAGTGACTTCTCATGCTAACTAAGTGACCATAAGTGTTCTGAACAATGAATACGTCGTGCCTGAAGTTCCCAACCAATGATGTTACTTAAAAGACATCCACCATTTAATGTACCGAACATTACAGTCCGTTTGTGTTTGCTATTTGGCATGTGCTTGGTAAACTGTCTGCGGCATCTGGGCCCCACTCAAAGAGTCGGGGACAGACAAGACGTGTAGTTAACCAGATTATGACGACTACCACCAGTGTGGAAATTCTTCCAATGGCAGTCGAGGAGGGAGACAGATTCAACATCTGCTCCTCCGGAATGCTGTGATTTCGAATATTGACGCAGATGGCAAAACTCTCATGTTCTTATTCGTTCACACCAAACATTTATTATTATTTTTTTTAATGCGAGCGTTTTTTTAATTTTTTTTTATTAATTTCATGGCGACGCGACTGTTCGTTTTGTTTTCTGACTGTCGTTGACTCTAAAGAGTTAATTATGGCGTTCTTGCTATTGCTTCTTTTATTACTTGTTGTGAATTATTGTTTTTAATTACCCAGATAGGATAGTTGGTTACTGCGGTAAATTCTGGCAGATTAAATAGTAATTAATAGAATGTTACATTATAATTATGGGAGACGGAATAATAATGTCTAGGCAGAATGTGACATTATAATAATGGGAGATGGAATATCTTCTAGACAGAATGTAACAATATAATTATGGGAGACGGAGAAATAAATGCTGGACAGAATGTGACATTATAATTATCTGAGACTGAGTAATAACTTCTAAACATAATATGACATTATAATATAAAACAACTTTAATAGTCGCGTTTTATAAAAGTCTAGGAATAAGCTGCGAACGGAGCATTTTTTGTTTTTTGTTTTGTTAACCGGCTGTAAGCTGTGGCGGAAAGTTGTTATATCTGTAGACTTGATTAGATGTTATGGTTGTAGATACTTTTTTTTTATTCTTGTGTTCGTAAAATATATTAGTTCCTCAATGAATAAAAATATTAGTCGTGCTGGTGGTGGTGGTCGTGGTGGTGGTGGTGGTGGTGGTTATACACTCGATTTTTTTTGGTGTTTTTTGTTGTTGTTACAACTGACATACTTGGGATGTCTCGTTTTTAGCTCAAAATATTAATGCTAAATCCCCTGTTTAGATATTAGCGGCGTGTCACATTTTCACCTCAGAATATTGGTGGAATGTCCCGTTTTCAGCTCAGAATATTGGTGGAATGTCCCGTTTTCAGCTCAGAATATTGGTGGGATGTCCTGTTTTCAGCTGATAATATTGGTGGGATGTCCCGTTTTCAGCTCATAATATTGGTGGGATGTCCCGTTTTCAGCTCAGAATATGATGGTCACACAAGTCTCTACCAGTGTGAGCCCTGCTCCTGTTGCACCAGCACGTGTTGTTCTGCACCAACGTAACTCATCGTTTACACAACCCGCAGACATGAAGAGTTTATGTCAGACAACAATTTACGGACTACTTTCAATCAAGGCTGTAAGGAACTAATAACTAACTTGCGCCCAAACACGACCTGATTAGACATTCATTCATCCTTCCTGACCTTTCACAGGCCCGACACTCTATCACAGGGGTGTCAGGGTTTTGTTTTGTATCGTCTGTAAATTGTATATTTCGCTCCGTGTAATATGTGTTGTGTGCGAACGCCGGCGATGGTGTGTATATGTGTCACAGTTGGCTGGCGACGAGGAAGTTTCCGCTGCTTTTCTGGAGCAACACGGCGTTTTGGGCCACCGCCAAATGTTAAAACCACGGGGCGTAGAATGCACTCTCTCGTGGGACCTAGGCTGAGGCACGCCCTTCTCTAATTATTCAGTCCTCACAAGTAAATCAGGGTACATTTTGGAGGAGTTCCCCTCGAAATTAGGTTACTGGGAGCATTTCCATGTTGCAATGTGTGACATTTCAATATGCTTACAAAGTCCTGTGTTCTAAACGTATTCGTATTACAAATCTACAAATGGATATTGTGAAGTGGATATACAGCAATTTTAATTTTAATTTTAATTCACGGAAGACAGTCGTGTTGTGATGTGTGTGTCAGTGTCACTGTTTCTAGTCAGTAGTTCGGATTTTTGGGAACTGGCTGTTTTCTACTTTAAATGTAGAAATCTTACTTTTAGGAATAATACAAACAGGTAATTTAGAAGCCATATCTGGAGAATATCGACAGTTGTCAGGTGCAAACTATCTTGTGTTTGAAGAAAACTATTGCTTTCAAATTGACTGTGCATAAATGGTGCAACCACACTGGGGATAAATTGTGTCAAGATATTTCGGAGCTCTAGGTAAGTGGATGAAAATAATATTTAATTTACTAACTAACCTCTCACAGCAAGTCACTCTTTGCCTCTTTACTAATTGTTGACTAACAGTATAATTATATGTTATAGCAGTACACTAATAATATTAATCCTTAACCATTTGACTTATGCTTCGCGAACACTGGCTGTAAACTCTTGCTGAAACTCTTGTGGACAATTCTGGTAGTTCATTGACTTCTTTTGCCTATTTGCAGTTCTACGGTCTGTTAATTTTTGTAAACTAGCTTTTGCTTTGCTTCGCGAACACTGGCTGTAAACTCTTGCGGAAACTTCTGGTTGTTCATCCACTTCCTATGCATATTTGTTACCAAAAAATTCGCAATGGTAAGGAATTGATTTCATCCAACAAGATAAAAATGGACAAATTTGTTTGTGCTGTTTGTACTATATTTAGTAGTGCTATAAGTACTGTTAAGAAAACTACTCTGGGTGAAAAAAGTATTGCACATATCAATTTCATACTGATTGTACTTGTTTCCTAATTATTAAATAACAGTATAATTGTATGTTGTAGTAGTCTACTAATAATAATAATAACCATCAATTATTTATATTTATGTTATGTATGACATGTGTATGTTTCATAGCAGTATTTTTATGCGCTAAATTTGATAAAGTACAAATGTCACCCCTCCTCCCCCCTCCCCCCCCCCCCTCCCGCTCCTCTGATGCAACAATAGCCTCTCAGAATCAAAGAGTTAGCACTGATATTTCTTTACTTTTGCTGGAACAACTTTTAGTTTTCATCTAAACGTTAATGATGTTTATGTTCGTGTTGACTGTAGCAAAAGTATTTTTGTTTGTCTGTAAAAGCCTTTATTGTTATATTTAATTGGCATACTTATTTACCTTAAAAATGACGTATAATCCTAAAAAATATGTCGAAAATTAATGAAACTGTAGTTTAATTTGCGTATACATCTCCTCGATACAATCTGTGGAAGCAGAGGAACTCAATTCTTGCACAAGAACGGGAATTCAAGTTCGAGCTGTACGGCCTTTTAAATCTGGAGCTGGCTGTGGCGGAGGCTGTCCGCTGGAGGGTTGGAGTTTTGCCTTTGTAGATGTTATGGGGTCGTTCAAAGTGCGGTAATATCGTGTATTATGGAACGTGGATATCGCCGGTGATAATATAGGAGATTATGCAACCTGACATCACTGTAAGAGAAACGTTAAGACGCATCAATAAACGGCCAATCAGGGTGCCCGGGCCGGAAAACGTGTCACTGGGCCCGAAAACGTGAGTTGTACCGGCTGTTAGGTTGAATGGTGGAAAAATGAGAATATTGTAGTAAAGCTTCAGAAACTAGTTATATTATAATTTCAAACCCGCAAACCGATAACATGCTGACATCGATCAAGGCACATTTCAAACAGTGTCTGAAACAGTTTATTCCGGGCAATTTTTCTCTTTATTTGTCTTGATTGCTTTCATGTTCTCATTCGTTCACACCAAACATTGATTTTTTTTAAAGTAAGCGTTATTTTTTGTATTAATTTCATGGCGACATGACTGTTCGTTTTGTTTTCTGGCTGTCGTTGACTCTATTGAATTAATTCTGGTGTTCTTGCTATTACTTCTTTTATTACTCGTTTGTGAATTATTGTTTTTAATCACCCAGATAGGATAGCTGGTTACTGCAGTAAATTCTCTGAGATTAAATAGTAATTACCGGACAGAATATGACATTTTAATAAAAGGAGATGAAATAATTTGTGGACAGAATGTGACACTATTATTATGGGAGACTGAATATCTTCTAGACAGAATGCGACATTATAATTATAGGAGACTGAATATCTTCTAGCCAGAATGCGACATTATAATTATAGGAGACTGAATATCTTCTAGCCAGAATGCGACATTATAATTATAGGAGACTGAATATCTTCTAGACAGAATGCGACATTATAATTATAGGAGACGGAATATCTTCTAGACAGAATGCGACATTATAATTATAGGAGACTGAATATCTTCTAGACAGAATGCGACATTATAATTATAGGAGACGGAATATCTTCTAAGAATGCGACATTATAATTATAGGAGACGGAATAAAAATTTCTTGACAGAATGTGACTTCATAATTTTAGAAGACGGAATAATAATTTATAGACCAAAAGTGACACTATAATTATGGGAAACTGAAAATAACATCTGGACAGAATGTGACATTATAATTATGGGAGACGGAATAATAATTGATTGACAAAATATGACATTATAATTATGGGAGACGGGTTAATAATTTCTGGACAGAATGTGACACTATAATTATGGGAAACGGAAAAAATACCATCTGGGCAGAATGTGACATTAATAATTATGCGAGATGGAATAACTTCTAGACGTAACATGGCATTATAATTATGGGCGATGGAATAACTTTTAGACGTAACATGACATTATAATTATTGGAGATGGAATAACTTTTAGACGTAACATGGCATTATAACTATTGGAGATGGAATAACTTTTAGACGTAACATGGCATTATAACTATTGGAGATGGAATAACTTTTAGACGTAACATGGCATTATAACTATTGGAGATGGAATAACTTTTAGACGTAACATGGCATTATAACTATTGGAGATGGAATAACTTTTAGACGTAACATGGCATTATAACTATTGGAGATGGAATAACTTTTAGACGTAACATGGCATTATAATTATTGGAGATGGAAT